ATATTAAAAACCAGTTCTTTCTACAAGAGTACAGTAAGACAATGGAGTTGTTTATTATGTAATTATCTCTTCCTCAGTTCTCACTGTATCTGTGTCTCTTCCTCTTCCGTGGAACAAATGCTGGATGGCAGCATAAAACTCTCAACTCCTCCTCTGAAACCTACAACATTAATCTCCCCTTTCCTCTCCTTGTCTCCTGCCCAGCTTTCAAATACTATAGTCTTCTTCCTCTCCCACTACTTCATTATAACATATATATTATTATTTTCATGAAGTCTGGCACTAACTTCCATTTATCACATCCAAATTCAAATTCATCATCCTTGTTCTCAGCAGACTTAAACTGCTGAACTCTTGTGTGTTAAAATGCAAATTCTCTGTGCTTTTTTTGATGGACTTCTCTACAATTGGAAATTAATCAGGGTTGGGGAGCAGGGGGCAGGCTGTCAGTTTAAAGTACACCAGCTAGTCTAGAATAGCTGCATGTCCAGATATACTTATTGTGGGATATGAACACCTTTTCTTGGTTTATTTGAATCCAGTGTGACACATTGCATAAGTAAAAACGGAGTTCTCGCACAAGGGTATTTCTTTGTATTTGAACTAGGGGTTCAGTTAATTAATGTACTTGTGTGACCGTTTTAGGTATTTGCTTTATCTGGTGTAGTTAATATATCCTCTGAAATCCATTCTCTCATTCTTTTTACTATTTGGCAGGCTGAAGCTATTCATGTGAACCCACTTTTTATACTAATACCTACTACACTGTGTACTTCATTTGCATTCCTGCTACCAGTAGCAAATCCACCCAATGCCATTGTATTTTCATATGGTCATTTAAGCATTATTGACATGGTGAGTTAGTACCAAAAAATCCTTAATTAACGTATGTAACATTTTGTGCTGATAATCATCCTGGAGCAGTAATGTATGATTTTACTATTATGGAAATTTGCTTTAGCCAAACTTGATTGTAGTATTTCTTGGTATCAACTTTTGATTTTTCTTTTTGCTTTAGGTGAAAGCTGGCTTGGGCATTAACATCATCGGAGTTGCTGTAGTTATGCTTGCTATTATGACATGGGTAGTACCCCTGTATGACCTCTATACATATCCAGCCTGGGCACCAGTTCTTTCTTCTGTGAATAACACAGGGCCATAGAAGCTAACTAGCCAGTGTTTGTTCTAATTTTGCTTTTTATATCACTATCATATAATGAGTTACTAAAAATACAGAGTGCTTCAGTGATGATAGTGATCCAGGTTACTGTAAACACTATTTCCCAGTCCAAAGGATTGGCAGTCTGTTCTGGTGTTCCTATTTGGAAAAAATGCTATATGAGCAGGGACATGAAAAAAACTATCAAAGCTGAATATGTTTCGTATCCAGTTCACCTAGTTCAGATTGTATTTTTTATGTGTTTTGAAGGAACGTCTGTAATGTGCACATTCATTATGAATATCAATGTACCCCTTTTTCTTAGGGTCATAAAATAGTACAAAGTACAGCTTTTGATATTTCAAATGTGGTGGTAACATTTGTTGCTAGCCTAAGCACACACTGTTTTTATTTTAGTTTGGTATTATACAGCTGTGATGTTTTTAAAAATGATGATTGCAAACAAAAGGTCAGGTTGGAAATTGTCTGAACAGTCCATTAAGAGACCTGTCTGCAGATGTGCTCTTTCAGGAAACACAAAAAACAATGTGAGGAGAGCAGCATGGCTATTTATACAGCAGTTTTTCTGTCAACATTAGTCTGGCCATTCTTTCACTATCTATAAGTGGAAACATTAAGATCCCAATTCAGGAATGCCTTTAATAATGTTTTATAAGAATATCATATTTAGGACCTTTCTTAAAACTTATGCTTAAGATTAAAAATATACTCTAGAATTTTTCTGAATGGAGATGCACTCCTGAGTGAAGCTTATTGGAGTGAAAAGTAAGCTAGCAGAATTATTTTCTGCTAAGTCCACTTCAAACCAGTTAATTCTCTCTCTCTCTCATATATATATGTGTGTGTGTGTGTGTGTGTGTGTGTGTGTGTGTGTGTGTGT